AGGACTTTATGGACGTCAGCACGCCCCTCAAACAATTCACCGAAGCGGTCATGCTGCCGGAGGGCACGCCCGGACGCGAACAGAACTTCAATCAGAAGTCCAACAATCTGCAGGCGTTCAGTGATCGCGCCTCGAAGACGTCGCGCATGGTCGCCGCTGGCGGCGCCTGTGGCAACAAGAAGATCGCCGAAATTCTGCTCTCCTCTGCCGCACAGGTGGACTCGCTGACGCCGCAGCTCATCAATGCCGGACGCATACGCATGAACTATCCGGCCAGCAAGGCGGCCGATGAGCATCTCCAGAACCTGAAGCAACAGTATGCGGATACGGTGCTCCGGATGCGCACACTTTGCGACCAGGCGACCGATCCGGCTGATTTCATCAAGACCTCCGAGGAGCATATGCAGGTGTATGCCAAGCTATGCGAGGATGCCATCCATGCGCGCCAGCCCCAGAAGATGGTCGATAATACATCCAATATAGCGCGCCTGATCAATCGTGTGCTGCTGGTGGCCAAACAGGAGGCGGACAATTCGGAGGATCCGATCTTTACGGAGCGTCTAAATGCTGCCGCCAACAATCTGGAACGCTCGCTGCCCGCCATGGTCGGCGATGCCAAGCTGGTGGCCACCAACATAGCCGATCCTGCTGCGGCTGCTGCCTGGAAGAAATCATTCCAGCGACTGCTCGGCGATGTGCGCGAGGTGCGCGATGCCATTGCACCGCCGCAGCCGCCGCCATTGCCCACTTCGCTGCCGCCGCCCATACCGGAGCTCAGTGCTCTGCATCTGTCCAATCAGAATGGTCAGTTGCAATGCATTTTCCAATCAGTCAGCCAATACGAAACTATCTCTCTCTCTCCCTCTTGCTCTCTCTCTCTTTTACAGCGGAGCGTGCGCCACCGCGTCCACCACTGCCGCGCGAGGGCCTGGCGCCCGTGCGTCCACCGCCTCCGGAGACGGATGATGAGGATGAGGGCGTATTCCGTACGATGCCGCATGCCAATCAGCCCATACTGGTAAGTGCACCATATTGGCTAGCTTTGCAGCTGTAAGAGTCGCTAAACAATTCGGATCCGTTGACAGATTGCGGCACGTGGCCTGCACCAGGAGGTGCGCCAGTGGTCGTCCAAGGACAACGAGATCATTGCGGCCGCCAAGCGCATGGCCATACTGATGGCCCGCCTCAGCGAGCTGGTGCTGTCCGATTCGCGCGGCAGCAAGCGCGAACTGATTGCGACAGCCAAGAAGATCGCCGAGGCATCCGAGGATGTGACACGGCTGGCCAAGGAGCTGGCGCGTCAGTGCACGGATCGACGCATACGCACCAATCTGCTGCAGGTGTGCGAGCGCATCCCCACAATTGGCACACAGCTCAAGATCTTGTCCACCGTCAAGGCGACCATGCTGGGCGCCCAGGGCTCCGATGAGGATCGCGAGGCAACCGAAATGCTGGTGGGCAATGCCCAGAATTTAATGCAGAGCGTGAGTAGCCGCCGGAAGGAATACACAATTATATCTCACTCCCAAATGGCTTGTCCTGATTGAATGACTGACTGATTGACTGATTGACTGATTTACAGACAGACTGTTGATTTATGTACAGTCGAATCTGTAAGAGCGAGCAGACTGACATCTATCTATCCCTATGTGATGCAATTCCACGTTCAGTCGTGATTTTGCAGAAATTGGCGAAAAACGATTGCCTGAAACTTCTTTATTGCCTACCAAGCGATCAGATTAGATCTTTTAGAAAATTCATTTAAGACGTATTTCACACTTTTCAAGGAATTCACCGCTTCGAGTGGAAAATGGGTGACAAAGGTCTTGTGGTCAAAAATTAATTCAGCTTTACATAAAAACTTAATGAATACATGGATAATTCAATTCCTTAAACGCATTTATCAGGCTCTAGTTAAAAATTTCTCTGTATGGAAAATGGATGTCAATGTTTGTATGGGTAAAAGTTAAATTTGAGTCCGTTGGAAGCCAAATTATTTTCCAACCTTCCACGGGTGGGAAAAAAGGTGGAAAAGTGTTGTTTAAATTAAAATGAATAAAACTTGACGCAGGCTAAGCCGAAAAATAACCGCTAATACATATGTCAGCATATAAAAATGTGATCTAATCTGATTGCCATCCTCTTCCAACCAGGTCAAGGAAACGGTACGCGCTGCGGAGGGAGCCAGCATCAAGATCCGATCCGATCAGACCAGCAATCGACTGCAATGGGTGCGCCGCCAGCCCTGGTATCAGTACTAGATGTCCAAAAAAAACACCCACACACACACACACACACACACACGCTCACTCACACTAGGCAACAAACGCGGCCAAAAGCTATCCAATCTACGTGCCTCGTGTAACATTTAAACTAAACTAATCTTAAAACATTTGATGCTACTTTAATATTAATACCTGTAATACCTGTAATACCTGTAATACCTGTAATACCCGTTATCTACTTCTCCTAACTCTTCCAAACACACACATTTATTTATTATGTGCTCTGCTTAAAAAAAAGAAAAGAAACTTAAAACCCAAATATCGCAGAAAATATTTTTTTTTTTAAATTTCTAGAATTTTTGTTTGTATTTTTTTTTGAACTTTTATCTGTTTTCTCTTCTTTTTTTTTTAAATATATATTTATAAAGCTAATGTTTAAGGCGTGCAATAAATAAATGTACATACATATACATAAGCACACACACACAACACACACACACACACACACTCGCACACACATACAGTTGCAATGTATATAAAGCAAATTGAATATCTTGAGAAACATAAAAAGAAAAATGTTAAGGAAAAAATTCGAATAATAACAAACCCCTGCATTTACATAGCTCCAAAATTCGAAAAACAAATTTGTTAATTGATCGTTGACTAACTTGAAACATGTGCGACTATACGGGAATATATATATATATATATATATTTGAAAGTGTGGCCAATTCACATTGTACTTGCATAGTTTTAACTAGAAGTAGTTGCCCTTAACAAACTAAGCCCAAATTGATCAACGCGTTATGTGTCATGTTCAACAAAAATAACTGAAATAAAACTAAATATCGAGTGTTATTAATTCTATGCACATCTTAAGGGTTATACGCTATATGCTAAATTATATTATTCGGATCTGAACTTTTGTGTTTAGCTTAAGATTATTGAAAGAAGAAGTGTGTAAATGAGAATGAAATGCAGAAATAAGCCGAAAGAGAGAGGAAGAGGGAGAGGGAGAAGAAGATGATATATATATAGAGAGAGAGAGAGAGAGAGAGAAGATGATATATATATATATATATATATATAGAGAGAGAGAGAGAGAGAGAGGGAGACAGTTAGCTCAAATAACCAATACCTTTTTGTTAAATCTTTGGATCAATATCTGTTCGCTGTTGAATACAATCCGAATACTGGAATTTATAGAATAGTTAAGAAAGATGTTAAACAGATAAGAATAATCTAGTCGAGAGTGGCCAACTGGAAGATACCCTAATCTCAGTGCCAAGCTGCCCTACAAACATCTGGCTATATGTACATTCATATGTCGCTAAGTCTCGTCTCGTGTTCCCACACTTTTCATGAATAGAAATGTATTCTTTATTACCTTCGAAATGATGTATACACAAAGTTGCGATGTTCTAGCTTTTTGCAAAAATTAAAATATCTTTCATTTGTTTATATTCAACGATAACTCTTGTGCAGGCCCATTTTGGTCTAGCTGGCTCTTAAAAACTTTGAATTTTGCTTTGAAACCCACGTCTAAAATCGATAGTTATCGGTTTTGTGAACATGAAATGATCTATAAGAAAATCTTTAATTGGCGATATTATGAATATGAAAGTTGTCAAAAAATAGCTGAAAACGAACGGCGTTGTTCGCAAAATCGATATCGTTATCAGTATTGTAAACATTTAGGGATTTATCGAAAACATCGATAGTTATCGGTATTCTGAACGTGAAAAGAGTTATAGAACAAATCTGAGTATTACAAGTATCAACTTTAGAGAAGATATCCGCAAAATCGATAGCTATCGGTAGTTATGAACATAAAATGAGTTATCGAAAAAATCGATAGTTAGTAGGTATCAAAAATCGATATTTCCCACAACTGAAGAGAGTCCCCCAATTGAATGCATAAATGTGTTGTATGTGTAAAAGCAAGCTGTAATTATTTTGATGGCGTTTCGTCCTGGGCTGCAGGGTATCTTCAAGTCGGGCAGTTCCCACTTGAACACTTAATATGGCTCGGCTAAAGTTTCGATTCGGCTGTTGCTCAGCCAAATTATATTGTCCTAGAAGCCTGTGTGTGTATATTTATGCGGCATAGAAAATTGGTTAAATGAACTCAGCTTTAATTCGAATTTATTGTTGGAGCATCTGATACACAGAATAAATGAACCCAAATGAACCACAGTGGAGCACCTGATGCTGCGTATACGTAATTTATGGCCGTTGCGTATACGCAGCGTTTCGTGTTGCAGCGCGTGGGTGGCGCAAAAAGAAAGTGTTGCCTGCTTTCAGGCGGCCACAAAATACACAGTAAATAGCTAGGCGCGGCGGGGTGGGGCCGCTGTTGTTGCCGTTGGGTGGAGCCGCCAGCGGTGCGGAAAAACTGGAAATTGGGAAATCGGAGAATGGCAACTAATTATAGCTGGCCGTGTTACTGCCTCCATGGCGAGCAAACGGAGCGCACCGAGCAGCAACGCAAATGCGGCAAATGCTGGGAGAGATGCTGACAAGCAAATAGCGACACCGTCAACGGCAGCGGCAGCAGCAGCAGCAGCAGCAGCGGCTGCGGCAGTGGCAGTGGCAGCGGCAGCGATGGCCACGGAATTGGGAACGCGTCAGTTGCGATTCGATTATCGGCGCCGCCAGCGGAAGAGAGAGAGAAAGCGATTCGATACGAAGCGTGACGATACGTTTTGATTTGATTCGATTTGAAACGGTGCCATGTCACAGTTGGAGCAGCAGCTGGTGCAGGATGTGCCGCAGATGGCCATAGGCGCCTCCACGCAGGAGCTGGCCGCGCTCATCGATGCGCATCTGGGTGAGCTGCGTCCGGAGCTGCCCGCCTGGCGCGTGGCCGACTCGCCCATCTCGGGTCGCGGCCTATTCGCCGTGCGCGACATTGCCAAGGGCGAGCTGCTCTTCCGTGAGCGCACACTGCTCGTCGGACCCACCGCGCATCGTGGACGCAATCTGCGCACCTGCACCCAATGCTATCGCCAGCCGGCCGGCGAAGATGGCAGCGATGCTGCGGCCCTCTGCACCGCCGGCTGTGGCCTGCCCGTCTGCGGCGGCTGTGTGGCGTCGCCGCGGCATGCCGTCGAGTGCCAGCTGTTCCGCAAATGGAAACCGAAGGATCCCAGCCGCATCGATCCGCGCGCCCTGCGCATTCTCAGCGTGGTGCGCTGCTTCTTCTTGAGCGAGTCGCAGCGCCAGCTGCTCTACGCGATGCAGGCGAACGCGGATCGCTACTATATGCGCGAGGTGCAGCGGGCAGCGGAGTCCTTTGATCATTTTCCGCGCGACCAGGACATGCTGGAGTATTTCTATCGCACCGTCTGCGCATTCAATACGAACGCCTTCGAGAGCCGCTGCCAGGTGGATGGGCGGGAGGTGGTCGCGCGCGCCCTCTTCCCGCTCGCCGGCATGCTCAACCATCAGTGCACACCGAATGCGGCTCATCATTTCGAGGACGGGGAGACGATTGTGGTCACCGCCACGGAGCGCATACCGCTGGGCGCCGAGATAACCATGTCGTATGCAAAGCTGCTCTGGTCGACGCTGGCGCGCAAAATGTTTCTCGGCATGACCAAGCACTTCATGTGCCAATGCCCGCGCTGTCAGGATCCCACGGTGAGTAGGCCAATCGATCAATTTGCTCGCCAGCTCCATTCAGGCCGATCGCCGATTGCGACACGCCGCCGCCAATCGCCCAAAATAGCCACTCTATCTCTATCTGCATCTCTCTTCTCATCTATATCTGTATCTGTATCTGTATCTGTATCGGTATCTTTGCCTTTGCTCAATGTGGGGCTATAGATATACATATGCGAGCGATTACGCGTCTCTCTACGGATCCGCACAGCCCATCCGGTCATCAATTAATCGGCTTTTGTATATATTTAAAAGAACCGGCACTTCGGTTCGTTTGTCATCTCCTCGATTTCATTGAACTTAATAGTTCATTACAGTTTTTGCTTAGGTGCATTCTTTCAGAAACACCTGATGCCACATAACAGACAGCCAGCCCCATCCACTCGCCACAACAGGAACCACAACGGGCCATTTAACCTTACTGAATCTTAGCTAATCTAGCCCAATCTAAGCTAACTTGAGCTAACATATTATGATTCTGCTTTTTCCTATGGCTAATTTCTCTACCTTGCCTCAGCTTACCTCACCCCAATCTAACAATTTCTGATTCTATTTCCTCACACTTTTCTGTCAAAGTTCATGTTAGTTAATCGGCATTTAAACTTGAGAGCAGAATGTCACAATATTGTGCAACAGTGGCAACGCCATGCACAAAAGCTGGCAACACTTAACGGATATGTGTCGAGAAATTGTCAAATTTAAACTGAATTGTCATTCGAAACCCATTTTCTAACTTGCGTATATTGTGCGATGTAATTTGTAAAGTGGCAACACTTTAACTTCCACTTGGCAAATATTGAGCAGGTAGATAAACTGTGCACAGAAACGAGATATAAAAAGCAAACTATTTTCAGTGATTGTTCACTGAGAAAGATACCTCAGAGGTATATATACATATGTTTGCCGTATTGAGTGTCACAAACACGAGAATTGATGTCAAATTAAGTGTTTTCTAAAAGAATATCAAATCAATTTATCGATTTATGGCATGTTCCATCTCTAGATAGACAAACAAATAAATCAAAATGGCGACCGAAAGCTAGTTAACAGAAATGGAACATTGCTTGCGGTTAGTTTTCAAATTAAATACACTGATTATTTAAATTGTGAAATTCCTATTTAAATAATCCACTAATTAGACGTTTCTTTATGCACTCAGTAAAATTTAGATTTACATATGTATGTACATATATATGCAACAGTTGGCATTGAGCACAAGATATTCGCATTAAATTCGCTCTCCCATTCAAGAAAACGCTCTGAATGACAACTTGTTGCATGGGCCAACAACATTTTTGTGATGTAATTCTGTCGCGCGCGCTCTCTCTCTCTTTCGCTCTTTCTCTCTCCCTCTCTGCCTTCTGCCCGCTCAGCCTTCCGCTGCTTGCTGCACTTGTTAAATATATTTTGAATGAAAACGTCACCTCCCTGGTGCATGTGAACACCCGCCTCTCCGCCTCTCCACCTCTCCACCCCTACGCGTCACGCTGTGCCCCTTTTTGTCAAGCTGCCTGTCATAATGCATATTCCTTTGGGCCTGGGCAAACTGCCAGGTTATGAGCTAATGGAAGCCCAAACTAGTTCAAGTACAAAAACACACGAACATACAGCCAACGCGACAGAGTGTGAGAAGCACACACACACACACGCACACACACACACACACACACACACACACTGAGACTGCCCTGCCCATGCACGCACATTCGGCACGCCAGGGGGCGCTGCGATAAATCTCGAGCCGTTGGGCCAGAAGACGCGCATTATGCAAGAACACATATCAAAACTCAACTGACGTGCGTCCAAATTCAACAGCAAAACATTTCAGTTTTGTTGATCTGCCCCATACCCTTTAAAAAGTGTGCATAGAGAGTTGTATCAACTTTTCAATGATGTTAAGTTTTAGCGACAGCAAACTTGATATCTAAGCTGTCGTATACAAAATGCTGAAAATCAGGACTGCAAACCAAAAACTATCGCTGGTTCGGTTCATGGCGCGAACCAGTTCCCTGCCTTATGGTTCGTTTCGTTAAGCTCGTTTTCAGGCAATTTAATTTTTAATATTTTTATATATTTATGACTAGATCTTGAGCTTAGTGCAGCTTAATTAAAGCAAGTTGCAAAGTAAATTATTAAATCGAATATGCAAATATGCGGCGTACAGGGTAGCGCCCAGTCATGCACTGCTGTCGTGCGCACTCTTTTCGTTCCACGTTTTTTGTTTTACTCTTTCATTTTTTTTTTGTCTGTTGTGTTTTAAATATACATTTTGTGCAAAAATCTCGACAAAATGAAAACTGAATGACAATTTTTTTTTTGTGGCTTACTTTTGTCTTCGTTCTTTTTTTTCCCTCGATGTTTCTTCTTCTTGTTTTTGTTTTCTCATTTGATGTTTGAGCGTGTGTATGAATGTGTGTGTGTGCGTGTGTGTGCGTTTGTGTGCGTGTGGGGGAATTTTCAAAGTGTGTTTCAATAGACTTGAGAATTTAACCATGTGCGTTTAAGTGGGCTGCAATTTGTAAAGGTGTTTGTGCGGGGGAGGAGAGGAGAGGGAAGGGGAGTTACGCTCGTGTGTGTGTGTGTGTGTGTGTGTGTGTGTGTGTATGGGGTGCATGGGTTAAGGCATAGAACATAAATGAATACATATACATATACAACTGATTTAGGGCTAACATTTTGGGCGCTTTTGCCTTTTTGGAACACGCTGCGTATACGCAATGTTTTGTTTTTTTTTTTTGTTATTGTTATTTTCATCGGTGACAACGTGCGTCGGGCACCTGGTTCGCGGCGCCAGGTCACGTGCCAGGTGGAACTGGCATTGTTGTGGCTGCGGGGCCGTTGATGATGCCATTCGGTCTGGGCCCAGTGTCAGGGACGCGCCACGCAATCGACTCGGCGATGTCTTAATTTATGTGGCCTCAACACGCGTGGCGCCAGCTGAAATCCCTAACGCTGGCCACGCCCACACATGTAGGCGCGCTCAATTGCAGCTGACAAAATGTATATATGTACATATGTACATATATACATACATATATTCTGGCTGCGTTTTATACCCTCTGCTAAAAAGGGGGCGGGGTATAACGCACCGTATGTGTTTGGCAGGCAGAAGGAAGGAAGAAGGCTTCTGGAATCCCACAAAGCGTATTTACTCTAATCGACCTGGATCTAGCTATATTCCCGTGCCCGTCCGTCTTTCAATATATATTCAACATATATCCTCTTCGGTTACCCTCCAGCATTTGTATCCTTATCCTTATCCTTATCCTTATTCTTCTCTGCCCTGCAAATTTCAAAAGAATCGGTCTGTTAACAGTTATTCTGGAACGCATTTGCCATAGTCTAAGGTGAAAGTGAAGAAGAAGAAGAAGCAGCGCATAGAAGCCAGAATAATTGTAACGGCAGCTCGTTGCGAAATTCCGGGTGCTCTTTGTCCCAGGGTATCAACAAGTCTTACTTGTTAACGGCTTTGGCCGACTTCGAGTGGAAGCCGCAAAAATGACGAGATGTCGCCTGGCCTGACTCTTGCCCAGAGCTGTGTGAGCGGACCGCAGTTTTTTCCTCTACTTCTTCCTCTTCTTTTTTTTTGTAGTACACGACTTTACGTATTTATAGGCGGCTCATAACCGCAGCGCCGAAGGGGGGCAAGGGGTGCGGTTAGGACTGCGGTGGGGTGGTGTGTGTGTGTGTGTGCGTGTGTGTGTGTGTGTGGGGGGGGGGGGGGTACAAATTGAAATGACAAATCGAAGAGTGACAGGCAAAGCGACTGTTGCGGCGGCGAGCGAGAGCAAGAGGGAAAGGGGGGGGGGGATGGGGAGTGTGTGTGTGTATGCGTATGTGTATGTGAACGTCAACACGCCATGTGCTTGTCATGCGTAGTTGTAGTTGTTGTTGTTGTTGTTGTTGTTGTTGTGTTATATCAAATCCAATTGAATGCAACAGAAAATTGAATAAGAGTCAAAAGCAAAAGCGTAAGCGGCTTTGCAAGCGCGCGCGTGTGTGTGTGTGTAGGTGTGTGTGTGTGTGTGTAGGTGTGTGTGTGTAGGTGTGTGTCGCGCCTTGGATAAATCATATTTCTAGTTGTTGCTGGCGCTGCCTCTAATTTGTGTTTTTTTAGTTGCGTTTAATGCTCTCTGAGGGCGTCGCTGCTGCCAGCGCTGCCGACGTCGCTGTCGCAGTCGCAGTCGCTGCCCAGCGCTCGCCTGGTCTTGTCGCCAATCGCCAGTCGCCAGTCGCCAACAGTCACTCGCAAACAAACGTCGCGTCGCATTGCGTCGCCTCGCAAAACGCTGCTCGCTAGTCGGTTGCCTGTTTAGTCGATCCTGGCCAGAAAGAGACAGCAAGAGACATAGAGAAAGAGAGAGAGAGAGAGAGAGAGACGTGTGTGTGTGTGTGTGTGTGCTCGACAGCATGACAGAGCGCATTAATACAACGGCGGCCATGATCGCCCATATGGCGCCCAGTCGGAACACGACGCCCGAGCAGCTGGCCCGCCTTATCGATGTCCATTTGGGTGAGCTGCGCGAGGAGCTGCCCAACTGGATGCTGGCGCCATCGCCGGTGGCTGGACGCGGCGTCTTTGCCACCCGTCACATTGCCGCCGGCGAGCAAATCTTTCGGGAAAGCGCCCTCGTCGTGGGCCCAACGGCGCGCAAGGGCTCCCAGATGAACACGTGCGTCTGCTGCCATCGCCAGCTGGCCGCCAAGCGGTTCCTCTGTCCGCATCACTGCACGCTGCCCGTGTGCGCTGAGTGCGCCGATTCGGAGGCACATCGCAACGAGTGCGACCACTTTCAGCGCTGGCTGCCCAAGGATCTGGTCGAGGAGACCGCCCCAGCTGCTGTTGCCGCTCCAGCTGCTGCTGCGGGCACAACGCCAGCCGCTGAGCAAACGGATGCAGTGAATCCGCTGTCGTTGCGCATTTTGACAGCGGTGCGCGTCTTCTACCTGAGCAAGGAGCAGCGCGCTCTGGTGGATGCCATGCAGGCGAATGCGGAGCGTGGCTATCGCCAGGAGATTATCAAGGCGGCGCAATGCTTCCGCAAGTTTCCCACCACAGATAAGCCGTTCATGGATCAGCTGTTCCGCGTCGTCGGCGTCCTCAACACGAACGCCTTTGAGGCGCCCTGTCGCGTCGACGGCCACGAGACGCTGCTGCGCGGCCTCTTCCCATTGACGGCGATCATGAATCACGAGTGCACGCCCAATGCCAGCCACTACTTTGAGAACGGGCGGCTCGCGGTGGTGCGTGCCGCACGGGACATACCCAAGGGCGGCGAAATAACCACCACGTACACCAAGATCCTCTGGAGCAATCTCACACGCGGCATTTTCCTCAAGATGACCAAGTATTTTGTGTGCAACTGCGAAAGATGCAACGACAACTCTGTGAGTAGACCCGTTCTGGGATCCATGATCCGTTATCCGTCATTCGCATCCTTAGCCGAAACGATGACCCAGTTCTCTGTCGAAGTGCGATAGCTGGATTCGACAATTCTGTAATCCGAATCTTTATCCGAAACGATGACCCAGTACTTTATGTCCAAG